CATGAACACTATATCCACAAATGTCTTTTATTGTTTTTAAGAAGCTCCTGTAACGGCTGTTGTAGTACATACTGAGAGCCCTTTTTTAGATCTAGTCTACCCCTTTTTGTTTAGTATTATTGTCGCCAATTAGTTCATTTGTTGGTTATACTTTTCTGTTGGATGTTTAAGACAATGCATGTGTCTAAAATAATTTGCTTCATTCATTATTTTACTGTTGAGTTCAATTGAGGCTTCTTAGGGATTACTTTTAGGGACTCATGAGGTTCTCCTTGACTCATTTAACTTTTTTTCTATCAGTTGTATCTGTTTTATCATTACTGTGATGAAACACATATTCAGTGTTTATGCAGCTTCTCTGGTCAAGAGGATGGGTGTCTTAGTAGAACTACAGGCTGACCTTAGAGAGTAAGAACCAAGATATAGATGGTCTTCTTAGCCCCTTTATCATCTTTGACCTCTAGATTTTGGTTATTACATACGCATAAAATCAGTCACCAGACTTGAGGAGGAAGTAGTAGGTTTTACTTAGTACAATAAACTCTCAGACATATGAATATTTTGGAATACACATATGGTGTTAAATATGCCACAATAACCTAAATAATGGTTGTTTAACTAGTTATAAATAAATTATTTAAAAGACTTTGAAACAGAGCCTTCAATAAATCCTCACCTTGTTAAGACATGGTTGTCATCAAATGGATTCTTTTGTTACGAGTGCTGATTGGTGGAGTATGTTATTTATTTCCAATGAAGAACATGGTATACTGTCCACGAAGCTCTATCATTTAAGGCCAATGTTAAAGGATTGCAGCAGTCCTCAGCAGCCAAGGGTGTAGGTTGTCCATAGTGGTAGTAAGGGCTATCGGGATTTCCAGTGGCAAAGCCTGATTCTGTTTTTATGATATATTTCTCTCCCACCTACAAAGTTGTGATCAACTCCTTTTGAAATAGAGTTTACTTAAGAATACTTCTGGATCAGTGTTTCATTAATGGAACCCTTTTCATCTTGGTGATAGAGTCTGAAGCATAAGTAAACATGTAGAGACTGATGTTCTAGGATCCAGGGCAGTATCGGCATCTGTAGATGGGGCACAGACATATCCACTGCCCCTCTGGTAATGCTGTGTATGGGACAGGTATTTATGGAAGTGGGGTAGCTTGTTCTTTTCTTTTTAAACTTATGTTCATGAGTTTTTGCCTGTTTGTCTGTATGAATACTGCATATGTGCAGATACCCTAGGATGCAAGAAGAGGACATCATATCCACCAGAATTTGAGTTATAGGCAGTTTTGAGCTGCTTAATATGAGTGCCTGGAACCAGATCTGGGTCCTCTGCAATAGCAAGTACTCTTAACTACTGAGCAAAGTTTCTAACCCCTGTTCTATATTTCACTTTATTTTTTCTTTAAATTAGAAACATGCATGCTTCAAATATTAATCCCAGCTGCCCCCTTGTTCCTCCATCAGCCCCTCCCCACCCCCCACCCTCCACCCCCAGCCCAATCCCCACATCATTCCCCAGGGAGGGTGAGGCCCTCCTTGCGGGGATTTCCAGAGTCTGTCATTTCATCCAGGGCAGGACCTAGGCCCTTCTCCATGTGTCCAGGCTGAGAGAGCATCCCTCCATGTGAAATGGGCTCCCAAAGTTTATTTGTATGCCATGGTGAACACTAATCTACTACCCAAGGCCCCAGAGATTTCTGAGGCCTCCTCACTGACACTACATTCATGGAGTCTGGATCAGTCCCCTGTTGGCCTCGTAGCCATCAGTCTGGGGTTCAAGAGCTCCCCCTTGTCCAGTCAGCTGCCTCTGTGGGTTTCACCAGCACACTCTTGACCCCTTTGCTCATCACTCCTCCATCTCTGTCACTGGGTTCCAGGGGGTCATTTCAGCGTTTAGCTGTATCTGTCTCTGCTTCCATCAATCACTGGATGAAGGTTCTAGGATGGCATATAATCATCAGGTAGGGGCTATTAATGTAGTCTCTCCGCTATTACTTAGTTTTCCAGTTGGTGTTATCCTTGTAAATCTCTGGAAATCTCACTAGTGTCAGCTCTCTCCTCAAACCTATAATGACTCCCTCTATTATGGTATCTCTCATCCTGCTTTCCTCTATTCTTACCCCAACTCAATCTTCCTGCTCCCCCATGTCTTCTATTTCACTTTATTTTTATTTATTCTTTGAAAACTCAATGTTTATCAGCAACATGTGTTGTTTACATAGAAGACTTCATGTCAAACGTATTATTTTTCACTCAAATGTATTTTTAGATGCAATGATCCTAATGCTTGTTGTGAAAATTGATGAATGAAAGTACACAGTCAAGAATCAAGATTATTTTGAAAAACAAAATGAATTTATATGAATGATAAAAAGCCATATCAATGAGAGAGAACAGAATATCTGTCTGTTTTTTGACAAATGTGATGTTGCAGAGAAATGTTGAGATATGGTTATTTTAATGTATGATACTTGAACATCAAATATTAATATGGCAAAAGGATGTCTAATGTCTACCAATCACAAGAAGTCAAGTTATTGATTTGAGTGTGACAAGTAAAATATTTTCTTTACTTGTGAAAATTCTTATTTAATATTTATCATCTTTATAGTCTTTTAAAATACATATTTGCATGTGCCTTTTAATTTTATTAGCTTTTTGAAAATAGCCTGTAAGTGAATGGATCCCATTATATATATTATAATAAATTTTATTTAAACGAGAAACAATCTTATTTTACATGTCAATCCTAGTTCCCTCTCCCTCCTTTCCTCCCTTGCCCCCACCCCCCATCCCATCCCCTATCCACTCTCCAGGAAGGGTAAGGCCTTCCATGAAGGATAATCAAAATCTGTCAAGTCATTTGGGACAGGGCCTAGGCCCTCCCCCGTGTATCTATGCTGAGAGTATCCCTCCATGGGAAATGGGTTCCCAAAGTCTGTTTGTGCACTAGGGATACATCCTTGTTCCACTACCAGAGGCCCCATAGACTGTCTAGTGCTCCTAGCTGACACCCACATCCATCATATATTTTTCCTACACATTTTGTTCTTATGGATCCTCCTCTTCCTCCCTTCTCCTCACATTACACACTCTCGTGTTTCTCATCTACCTGTCTATAAGTGCTCCTTTTTCTTTCATGACACATGTTATTCTTCCACCTTTAAATCTCTTCTCCCCCCTCTTTCTGCTTTTATGACCTCTATTCACACACACTAGTGTATATTCACATACACTCAAAGCCTAGAATCAGCCTACAAGAGAAAAGGCCAGGGATATCTTTCATAGTCTGGTTCATTTCACTTAACATAATGATTTACAGTTTCATCAATTTTCCTGAAAATGTCGTAATTGCACTTCTCTCTTTTTTGGTTTTTACCAGACAGGGTTTCTCTGTATTGTTTTGGAGGCTGTCGATCCAGCCTGGCCTTGAACTCACAGAGATCTGCCTGCCTCTGCCTCCCGAGTGCTGGGATTAAAGGCGTGTGCCACCACCGCCTTGCACCTCTCTTTTGAGATGAATAAATAGTCTCTTGTGTATATTACCCATTCATGTGTTGATGGACATCTAGGTTAGTTTATTTCTTAGTTATTGTGAATAGTGAAACAATAAACATGAATGTGCTGATATGTCTGTGTTAGGACTTGGAGTCCTTTGAGCTCATGTCCAAGTACAATATAACAGGGTCATTTGGTACGTCTAAAGAGGAATATTAAGCTACACAAAGTATACAGGGAAGGAATGCCATATGATACTTTATTAGGGAGAAGTCACTTACATGAGAAGCCAAGAACCTGAGATCAGCTCGACCGGAACCCCAAGAGAGCGTGTGTCTCCTTTTCCCCCAGCTCTTATCTCCCATCCCTACTATGTACCTGTGATCATGCCCAGCGGTACAGGTATGTAAGATCTCTCCCTACAGTTCTCCACACTGGCTTCTATAGTAGCTTCACCAGTTTGCATTCCTGCCAGCAGTATTTAGGGGCTGCTCTTTCCTCACATCTTCATCTTCATTTTTGGTCATTTGTTTTCTTTTTTAAATATTTATTTTATATTAATTACATCTATGTGAGTGTGTCTATGTGTGAGTAGGTTCACATGAGTGCTGATGCCTTCTTCAATTAGGGGTGTGCATCCTTCTGGAGCTGGAGTTAGAGACAATTGTAAGCGGCCTGATATGGGCACTGGGTATCAAACTTGGGTCCTCTACAAGAGCAATGAGTGCTTTCTAGCTCAGTAACACTGAGCTGTCTCTCCACCTCCACCACTTGATTGGTAATTTGACTGTTTCTTCTTTTAAGAACTGTCTATTTATTAGCCTATATATTCTTAAATAAAAATTTTATTTACTTAGAAGCATTCAGAATGTCAACAAAACAGCTGCATTTTTTTTCGCAATTACAGAGTGGTATTCAGTTAACAGAACAATTATCTTTGTATAAGCTGCATCAGAGACAACTGAAGATGGGAAACGCCCCAAAAAAGAGAAAAAAAACTACTGTCCCCATATATAACTAATTTGTGCTGTGCACCAACAGGAACCTGCTTTGAATTTCCATGCCAATTTACAACCCAGACTGTACCAGGCAAGGTTAATGGCTACTGAAAATACCACCAGGACAGGGCTATCTAAAGACACATTCGGTAGTGTGTTAACTATAGAAAAAAGAACACTGTACAGTTTAAAAACAAATCTTACACAGCCTTACATTTCAATTTTTTTTCTTTAAAAGGAGTGAGTTGTGTACAGGGGGGTTAAATGCTTTATAGACAAAAAAACCAAAAAGTGTGCTAGAACCATCGTATTCATCATCATCTTCTTCATCTTCGTGTTCCTCTTCTCCCTCCTCATCTTCATCCTCTTCATCCTCCTCATCTTCCTCTTCCTTCTTTTTCTTGCTCTTTTCTGCCTTGACCACCCCCTTTTTCGCTGCATCGGGTTTTCCTTTAGCTCTGTAAGCAGCAGTAAGTATCCTCTCCGTGCTTCTCCTAAAGTGTGGCAGCCTTCCTTCCGTAGGGCTGCTTGTCATCTGCGGCAGTGTTGTTCCACATCTCGCCCAGTTTCTTTGCAACATCACCTATGGACAAACCAGGGTGTTCTCCTTTGATTTTTGGGTGATACTCAGAACAGAACAAGAAGAAGGCCGATGGAGTCCTGTTGGGTGCATTGGGGTCCTTGAACTTCTTTTTGGTCTCCCCTTTGGAGGGGGTGCACGTTTTCATTTCTCTTTCATAATGAGCCTTGCCAGCCTTTGCCATGTTATCAGATGTCCCATTTTCTTTTTTTCTTTTTTTATCATTTTTTATTTTAATTTTAAATAGCTTGTTTTACATGTCAATCCCAGTTCCCTCTCTCTCCCCTCCTCCCGCACTCCCCTTCCCCTCCCACCCTATTGCCAAATCCTTCCACATAGGGGATATCTAGAGTCTGTCATTTTACTCTTGGTAGGGTCAAGGCACTCCCCTAAGAGTCCAGGCTGAGAGAGCATCTCTCTTTGTGCTATAGGCACATGAAGACAGTTTGTATACCAGGGATAGACACTGATCCACAGCTCAGGGCCCCATAGGTTGCCCAGGCCTTCTCACTGACACTCACATTTGGGGGGTCCAGATCAGTCCCATGCTGGCCTCCCCACTGTCGGTCTGGGGTCCAAGAGCACTCCGCTGTTCAGATCAGCTGTCTCTGCTGGTTTTGCCAGCCCATTCTTTGCCAATTTGCTCATCACTCCTCTCTCTCTGTCACTGGGTTCCTTGGGTTCAGTTCAGTGCTTAGTTGTGTGTTTGCCTCTGCTTCCATCAGTCACAGGATGAAGGCTCCCGGATGGTTATAGACATCAAGTTCATTATCAGGAATGGGCATTCGAGGTGGTCCCTCCACTATTGCTTAGCTTGCCAATTGATGTTATACCTTTAGATCACTCGAGGTCACTCTGGTGCCTGATCTGTCTTCGATCCTATGATTCCCTCTTCCCCCTATTCTACCCCCACCCCCTCAACTTCCTGTTCCCCCATGACCAACTCCCTTCCTCTTTACCCCCTCTATTCTTCCCAGGTCCCACTCCCCCCCACCCCTCGCCGTATTCCCCATCAGAGGATCTTGTCTCCATCCTCTTCTCTTGGGTACTATGCATATATGCATATCTTTTAGGTTCTTTCCTGTTTCCCAGACTCTCTATCTGTGGAAGTGCAGACTGGCACTATCCTGATCCATATCTAGAATCCATATATGAGTGAGTACATACCGTGTTTGTCTTTTTGCGACTGGGTTACCTCACTCAGGATGGTTTCTTCCAGTGCTATCCATTTCCCTGCGAATTTCAAGATTCCATTGTTTTTTTCTGCTGAGTAATACTCCTTTGTGTAAATGTACCACATTTTCTCTATCCACTCTTCAGTTGAGGGGCATCTAGGTTGCTTCCAGGTTCTGGCTATTACAAACAATGCTGCTATGAACATAGTGGAGCAGATATCCTTGTTGTATGAACCTGCCTCATTTGGATAAATGCCTAAGAGTGGAATTGCTGGGTCTAGTGGTAGATTAATTCCCATTTTCCTGAGGAATCTCCATACTGATTTCCAAAGAGGCTGTATGAGTCGGCATTCCCACCAGCAGTGGAGGAGTGTTCCTCTCTCTCCACATCCTCTCCAGCATAAATTGTCTTCGGTGTTTTTGATTCTAGCCATTCTGACAGGAGTAAGATGGTATCTCAGAGTTGTTTTGATTTGCATTTCCCTGATGGCTAAGGATGTTGAGCACTTTCTTAAGTGTCTCTTGGCCATTTTAGCCTCCTCTACTGAGAATTCTCTATTTAGCTCTGTACCCCACCTTTCAAGTGGATCCTTTGGTGTTTTGGAGACTTGTTTCTTGAGTTCTTTGTAAATTTTGGAGATTAGCCCTCTGTCAGATGTAGCGTTAGTGAATATCTTTTCCCATTCTGTGGCCTGCCTTTTTGTCTTTTTGACTGTGTCCTTTGCCTTACAGAAGCTTTTTAGTTTCAGAAGGTCCCATTTGTTAATTGTCGATCTCAGTGCCTGTGCCACTGGTGTTATGTTTAGGAAGTGGTCTCCTGTACCAACTCGTTGAAGAGTATCTCCCACTTTCTCTTCTAAAAGTTTCAGTGTGGCTGGATGTATGTTGAGATCTTTGATCCATTTGGACTTAAGTTTTGTACAAGGCGATAAACATGGATCTATCTGCAGTCTTCTGCATACCAGTACCCAGTTATGCCAGCACCATTTGTTGAAGATGCTTTCTTTTTTCCACTGTACAGTTTTAGCTTCTTTGTCAAAAATCAGGTGTTCATAGGTGTGTGGGTTCCATTTTCTTTAGCAGACATGGTCTTCCACCTTTCTGAGCACTTCTTCGAGAACTCTGAGAAGTTGACAGAAGCATCCGGGTGCTTCTTCTTGTGTTCCTCCCGGCAAGTTTGCACAAAGAGTGCATATGAGGACATTTTGCCTCTAGGCTTCTTAGGATCTCCTTTGCCCATCTTTAGATGATTTTTGTCCGGGAGGCACAGAGTGCCCATCCGGCTTGCGCTTGCCCCGGAGATGTCTCTATGGAGATCAATGTACTTCAATGGCTGCCTAGCTTATATTTTGATTGGAAGGTTTTTTTTTTAGTTTTTTACACATTCTAGATATAAGCCCATGTTTGATGTATAGCTGGCAAAACTTTTCTCCTAGTCTGCAAACTGTCTCTTCACTCCTGTAATAGTTTCCTTTACTATGCAGAACCTTTCTCAGTTCATGTAATCTCATTTGCTAATTCTTAGGATTATTTACTAGGCTACCGCAATCACTTCAGAAGTATTTTGGTCTATGAACAGATCTAGAAGTATTTTGCATGTGTTCCATTAGCAGTTTCTGTGTCTTAGGTCTTATTTAAAGTTCTTGATTAATTTTTAAAGATTTATTTCATGTATGTAAGCATTTTGCCTGCATGTATGTATGCATGTGTGCCACATGGATGCAGTGCCTGTGGAAGTCAAAAGGAGGCAATGAGTTCCCTAGAGCTGCATTTATGGATGGTTATGAGCCACTATGTGGGCACTGGAAAGTGAGCTCAGGGCCTCTGCTAGAGTATCTCCAGTCCCTCAAACTGATTTTTTCTGTGTGTTGAGAGATATCCAGTCATCTGGATACCCAGTTGTCCCAGAAACATTTGTTGAAGTGAATGTCTTTTTCTAATGTCTGTAGCTTTAGCTGTGTTGGATTATGTGAGTCCTCTATTCATCTATTGGGCTATGGTATCTATTTTTGTGTTTGTATGATGCTGTCTTTGTTACTACAGTTCTGTAGTAATTTAAAGTCAGGTATTGTGATACCTTCAGAATTGTTCTTTCTGTTTATTATTGTCCTGGCTATTCATAGTCTTTTATCAATATGAATTTTGGGATTGTTATATCTTGTTCTATAAAGGTTGCAATCTAAATTTTGATGGAGATTGTGCTGAACTTGTGAAAGACTAGTAGGTGCTCTTAACCACTGAGTCATCTCTCCAGCTCCTGTACAGTATACTTTTCAATGAACAATGGGATGTTTAAGAAATCTAAAAGAAAGGTTGTAGAAATGGCTCAGCATTTAAGAGTACCAACTACTATTTTAGAGGGCCAGTGTTTGGATCCCAGCATCCATATTAGATGGCTCCTAACTGCTTGTAACTTCAGCTTCTGGGGTATCCAAATGCTCTAGCTTCTGCAGACACCTACCCTTACTCGCACGCGCACGTGCGCGCGCGCACACACACACACACAAAATTTAAAAATTAAAATAAATATTTTAAGCATCAAAGAGGAAATTAAACTATTGTTAGAATCAAATGTAAATAATGGCACAGCTAACCAGAACTTTGGGGGTACAAGTAAGGCAGTTCTAATAGGAAAGCTAAAAGCTTTAAGTGCTTACATTAAAAATAAGCAGGAATATCTCAAATAAATAGGCTAAATGATGCACATTTAAGTTCTAGGAAACATGAATAAGAAAATCTGAAATCTAACAGAGAGAAAAAAATGAGAGAGATTGGGGAGAAATTAATGAAATGAATACTAAAAGAATAGTAGATAATATGTAATAATACATAATATGAACAAGACATATGTTCATTCAAAGATTGCTTATTTGAGCCATGTTTCTTTTGTTATTTTCAAATAGAGTCTATTGCAGCACAGATAGTCCTGTAGCTGACTGAGGTAGAGGATGAGCTTGAAGTCCTGACCTCCAGCATCCATTTCTGGAATGACTGGGATTACAAACCTGTTTCCCTCCACTACCTCATTTTAGATGGTGAGAAAAAATGCACTTGCATTCTTATAATTCTCTTTACTGGCTAGTTCTCATATTTGATTCTGTATTCATTCTGTCGTGATTAATTTTTAAACTGATGTCTCGAAGACAATCTGATCTCATGCACATAGGTAACCGAAAAAAAAGAGGAGTATGTTAATGTCTTTTTCAGATATTATAAATATTCTCTTTGAACCTTACAACCTAATGAAGTGTGATTAAGTTGCTAAGAATACTACTGCTTTTGAAAAATGTTGTTGTTGTTCTCATAGCATAAATTAGTTGCTTCAAGAACAGGCTCCTCTGTAACATTGAGTTTGTTCTCTGGGTCTCTCTGACCTTCTGTCTTTTTATAATATCATATCCCTTCGCACACGATCCTGTCATCATCCTGTTCATTCCTTTGTGAGACATCGAAGCAGACCCTTAGCAGAAGCTATAAAGATGAGAATAACTGATCTTGGACATTCATCTTCACAGACTGTAAGGTAAATAAATCTGCTCTTATTTATAAACCCAGCCTAAGGCATTTGTTTACAGCAACAGAAAGTTGACTGTTACATTATAAGAGGAAAGAGACATAGGGAAAGAAGATTATTAAAAGAAACAATGGCTAAAATATCCCCACATTTGGGAACAGAAATGGACACTCACTACGAGGACTAAAGGTTCTCAAATATTTGAAATTGAGAAAGATTATGGCAATGAATTAGAACTGTATTATCTCAAAGAATTATGCAACTAAACAAAGCAAAAAATAAAAGTCATTTGTCACATGAAAGGGATTCCTTCTACAAAAGCACAAGAGGATTTCTCAGAAAAAAAACTTTGTAGGCCAAGAGACAGTGTGATGACATATCAAAATGAAAAATATATGAAATCAAAAAAGGTCAAGGCAACAAAGAATGCCAATTCATCAGAAAGTCAATTAAAAAATAAATTAATAAATATGTAACAACTCTAAATACGCATTATGTAGGCTATGCAATATATAAATACAATTTATGATATAAAACAGTGTTTATATATTATAAATAGAATGTGTATATTTTGATACATACATATATGTAAGAACTTTGCTGAAAAATATAAATTTTAAAGATATTTTAAAAATTTTGTGTGTCTGGATGTGGGTGTGCATGTGGGTGCCTTCAGGTGCCAGAAGAGGGTATCACATCCCTTGGAGCTGGAGTTACAGGTGATTGTGAGACACTAAATGTGAATGCTGGGAACCAACCGAGTTCTCTGCAAGAGCAGCAAGAGCTCTTAACTGCTGAATCTTTCTCTAGCCCCTCAAACTACACATTTATAATGTTTCTATTTATTCTTTGAGAATTTCATACAATGTATTTTGATCATATTCTTTCCCTTCCTTCAATCCTCCCAGATACCCCCACTCTCACACACATAATTATTAAGCCACATCCATTTCACCCCCTCAAGGTAAATATTAAATGGCAGGCACACAGTCAACAAGGACAACTGCCCCTTGCTTCATGACATCTTATACAATACACAAGAAGTCTAATTTGTGTTGAGTCACTACTCCTGAGCATGGAGCGTGCTCTGGAGAAATTAAAAGCAGCTTGACGAAAATGGAGTGACACATCATATAAAAAATTCAGAATCAGATTTAGCTTATTACAAATTAGTTGTTCACAAGGTGATTTCATGAAAATTTAAAGTTGTTTTTGAAAAGTTCTTATGGAAATTTAAAGAGCTGAGAATAAATACGTGCCCTAAATTAAAAAGATAGGAACTAGATTATTTACACTGGTCAATAGCAAAACCGTATTATAAGCTATAATGATAAATATGGCATGTTTATGTGTACAAATATAAAGCAAGTGATCAACCAAATGGTGGAACTCAACTGCATCTGCATGTATACAATCGGATGTTCTTTTGGCAGCATTGACACGAGAATGAAGAAAATGTGTATCTTGTTAACAACTATTTCCTTTGGGTACCCATAAGGAAAATATTGCCTTATTATCCTTGTCTCATTTTCTTCTAAATTTATTTATATTTCAGTTCTTGTACAAGTGTAATTTTTATGCCAAGTATGTTGTTCGCACACTCTCCTAACTCTCTTCTTCTTACTGTCTGCCCTTCTTGTTAGTCCTTTTGTTCCTTAGTTTCATTTTTACTTTCATGTCATAATTTTATGTATCTAAGTAAGACCGAGGAACAACAATGAGAGAATCTACAATATTTGTCTTTCTGAGACTAGCTTAATTCACTTAATATGATTATCTTCAGTTGTATTCATTTTTCTATAAATGACAAAATTTTTTCTATAATGGGAAAATTTATTGTATGTACATGCTAAGGTGTCAGACCTGCACATGTGGTCAAGAATAGCTATTTGAATGCATTCAAAATGATTAGAATTATAAGGTTTTTGTAAATAACCTGATTGCACAGTTCTCAAGCATGAATTTTGTAGATGACAGTCAATAGAGTACACGGGACACACACCAGAACTATTCCTATGCTAATTTATGTGTGTATTTATTATTGCTATCGATGTTCACATTTTATTACATTTTCATTCATTTTTATGTATGTGTATTTATATTGATGTGGATATGGGAGCTAATATGCCATGGCACTCATGTGGATGTCAGAGAAAAGTTTCTAGAGTCACTTCTTTCCTTCCAACATACGGATTCCAGAGATGCAACTCAGATTGCAAAGTCCCTTTCTTTACCCAGTGAACCATCACACTGGTTATGTTGGTTTTTAGCTTAGAAAACTTCATGTTAGTGGGCCTAGAGAAATTGCTCAGTCATTAAGAACACTTACTGCTCTTGCAGAGGACCTGGATTTGGTTCCTAGCATCCACATGACAGTTAACAACAATCTGTAACTACAGTTCCAGGAAATCGAATATTCTTTTCTGACCTCTGTGGGCACCAGACATGCATGTGGTGTACATATATACATTCAGGAAAAACACTTGTGCATATAAAAATAATTTTTCAAAAAATTATGTTAGCATGATATTGTTTCATTATAGCATTCTCATACATATGTGTTATCATACTTCATTATAATTTGTGCCTTCCTCCACTGCCCTTTCTTGTGCCCTTTGCCTCCTACACTAACCAGTTCCCTTCCCTCCTGCAGACAGTGTTCAATATTACATGTGTTCATTATTTTAAGGTTTTTGAGACAGGGTCTTTGTAGTCCTGTATGTCCT